ACACACATGCACACACATGCACACACATACACACACAAACGAACAAACACACACACACACAAACACACGTACATACATTTATACATGCATACATACATTTATACATGCATACATACATGCACGCACATGCCAAATTTGACAACTGTACGTTTGGCACGTGCCGTAGAAAACGGAAGGGGAAATTTTTCTCTTATTGGAAGGTTAGGTTAGGTCCTGGTGGGTAATTGTCCTGGTGGGTAACTGTCCTGGTGGGTAATTGTCCTGGTGGGTAATTGTCCGGGTGGGTAATTGTCCGGGTGGGTAATTGTCCTGGTGGGTAATTGTCCGGGGGGTAATTGTCCGGTGGGTAATTGTCCAGGGGGTAGTTGTCCTAGAATCGTAACGATGCAGTGTGCATATTTAATGCTCTACATGCATGTCCTGCCAACTTCTCATTAGTTACATTGCTTGTTGATAATAACAATGTTAGCCATGTCATGCACAAAACGTGAAATATAAATGCATACAGTGGACTTGGTTAATACATTTTTTAGACTATATATTTTAAAGGGTTACTAAGGAATTTCAAGGTGAATGGATAACTGACATGAAACAAATTTCAGGTTGGTGAGCTAAACCCAGTTAAGGTACACATCAAGGCAACTGTGATAGGAAACCCTTTGTTCTTTCAAATGGTTGGTCTAACTAGGACTTCAACCTTGCACTTTGGAAGCCATCCCAGTGGTGGTCCAATTGCAGTGAGACGCATGAGACTGAACAACCCAAGTCCTACTGGTATTAAACAATTTAACATGAATAACAAGTGTATTGTTTATAACTGATTCATATGAAAATGTTGTCACAGTATATTGTGGCAAATGCTTAACAGAATGTCGACATGTGTCTTATATTTGGTTTATACATTATTTTGTGGATAAATCTCGGCAATCATGTTTGACACTGTTATTGTAAGATAAGTGAAGTAAAACACAAAGCTATATGCAGTGAAATTACATCTATTTAGTGAAATAGCAAACCCATTAACTGATATGCACCTTATACAAGCAAACCAGTTATTTGTAGATTATGGTCATTGGTTATCTTGTTGCTGCTGTATTTCAATTGGTTCATCCTGCATAATTTCCCATTTTCAGACATAAGAATTGATTGGCAAACCTTTGAGATAAATCAGAGTGATGAACAACTGTTGGATGTGCTTGTCATTATCGGTGACCCCTTCCCACTGATAAATGCTGATGAAGAAGCCTCTGATGAAGAAGCTGTAGATATTTCAAAACTCATTAGTGTTAAAATTCAAGAGCATGAGGGCGTAAAGTCAAATGGTCTGTTCAAGATTGTCCCTAAGCAGATGGTATGTTCAGCATTAGAACAATTAATTGTGCATGAAAAATAACTCTAAATATAATTCATAATGAATTATTTGTAATCTATGTTTATATTGAAGTGATTAATAACACTTCTAGTATATCTGTTAATTTTCATCTTTCTAGGAAAATGCGAGAGGAATTATTCCTTTTGCTCTTAATGACATTCAGTCTCATACAGGTTGTGCCAGCCAAAGGCAAGGTCATGGTCGACATGCACTTTGTGCCTCCACCTACGGATGTTCAGTCTGCATTTGATGGTTATGCACTGGGACATCTTAGTCTCACACCAAATGTTAGTCTACCAGTGATATTGCATTTATATATAACTAAAAAAGAAAGCGTGTCAGAGTGGATATTTGGTAGTATGCTAGCAGGTCATCCTTTAGTTATAGTAGTGTCTATATATGCTATAGTATGTCTGCATAGCGGTACTGTTGATGAAACGTATGTAGTCTATGAGGAATTTCAATTAGTTCGCAATTAATGTGTACTGTAGAATACTGTATAGTATTATTTTGTCAACATGATGCATTATGAGACTGCTAGATGATTTTTTATGCATCCCAATTTTTACTCACGTTTTTTAACTTTTGATGTAAATCCAGGATAAACATCCATCATCTGTAGCTGTTCGGAATGATGGATACAATGTTGCACCAGTGAGGATAAATTTAAAATCTTCTGTGACGTCCCCTCAGCTTTACATTGAGATGGCAAATGATGATGGTATGCTGTACCAGGTGGCAGCTAGCAATCTCCTCCAACCATATGGACAACTGCAGGTACAAAAAACTATTCCTGGCTTTGAAGTTTTATGTATGGACAGTATACATCGATTTAATGCCTTTATTTTATGCACGGTATTTATTTAGCAATAAGAATCACGTCTCGTTATCTGTGCACAGATGAAATATAAGATTTTTGTGAATGTGGTTAAAGCAAGGCTTAAAGTCATGCTGTTTAAGTTTATAAAGGTATACACAAAAACGCATGTATATGTGTTATATATTATCTGACTTTTGGGATAACATGAATCTTTAAGGTCCACAGGCAGACGGCCAGGCAATAATCGTTTTCCTATAGGTAAAATGAGGAATAAATAATATTAGTGCATCACGTGATAAATCGTTGAAATTCCATTGGATAACGTCGCAGGTACTATGAAGCAATATATAGTGCCCGTCTGAGCGGGCACTATTGCTTGCGCGACGCATTGTTATTATAACTCATTGTGTTTACGTCACGAATCTCCTGCGTCTGGGCGCCACGCAAGAGTTTCGAATTAATGGCGGTTGTGTTTGTGTCGAGCGTTTTGTTACATCGAATGCACCGGCAAATTAGGGAGTATAAAGAAGGTATATAAGCATGAAAAGTAAACAGAAACACTTTATTTTGTACAAATAACACACAAATATACTACTTGCTGGTGCTAGAAATTCGTGACATAGACAGTTTAATACAAATTGAAATTGTTTGTTTAAGAAACTTTGTCTTATTCACTTCATATTTGCCGAGTAGATTGCAAAGTTATGTGATGCACTAAAAACATTAATGCCTGTTGTTAGGGGCACTATGAGAGCATAGTGCTCCCAACAACAGGCATTAATATATAAGTATTAGGAGTATAATTGGGTCATGCGACACACTAGCCTTAGTGTACTTATGATTTGTTTTGTATAATTCAATAAACACAGACTCGAATGCTTATCTAATTGGTCAATCATCCTCATCCCTAATTGTTTTTTTCCGATACGTAATCACAATCTAGAAAGATGAACTCAAATGTATATGCAATGTATTTGAGAAATCTTGCCACATCGGGTGAAATGTGGTCTTATCAGAAAAATCACTCAATGGTAGTGTGACTGATCGGCATAGGAAATCACGTAGACAATTATTTTTTATCACATTCTGCGTGTTTATGCTATATTTATCTTTAACCAGATCTGATCTACTATCCTCTTCCACTGGTTGAAACCTTTTTTTGTCGCACACTGCACTGGCCATCCGTGGTGGGAAACTTTTTTTCCTAGGTGACAGCACTATTGGCACCAGTGGGCAACATTGATTTTCAGTGGGCAGTGTTAGCTTTTTAATGACACATGACATGATCTACACCAATTACATTGCATTTTCGGCTAACGCTCCATTAGGAGTGTTCCCAACTTTGATATCATTAATGATTAATGATTGATAATCCTAACCCTAACCCTAACACTAACCCTAACCCTAACCCTAACCCTAACCCTAACCTAAATGACATTAAACCACAAACTAATATATGACCATGACCATATATATATATATATATATATATATATATATAAATATATATGTTATTATGACCATTAATGACATTAAAGTTGGGAACACTCCTAATGGATTATCACCCACATGTTCTTTCACAGCTATATACCAAATGTGTATGGGATAGATAGATATATCTGATAGGTGATAACAAATTGCAGGAAAGGATTGCAGTCAAGCAGAGTCACAGCTTCATGGTAAGAAATAACACTGAAACATGCATTCCATTCACCATGGAGACTCGGCCTCCATTTGTCATATCTGAAGTAAAGCCAAATTTCGTGGCAACTGGATCAAGTGCATACAGCTTAAAACCAGGATCTGCAGCACAGGTACACACAAGATGCGTGTAACAGGCCTAAAAGCATATAACCTAATAATAACTTAATAACAAACCTATAATTTGGCAGATAAGGTCTATGTCCCCTTGACCTCTGTTTGACCTCGCTCGTTTAGCTATTTCTGGGTAAGGGTTAGGGTTAGGATTAGGGTTAGGGTTAGGGTTAGTCAGAAATAGCTAAACGAGCGAGGTCAAACAGAGGTCAGGGGGACATAGACCCTACGAGCTATAATTTGTGTATCACGATTATCTCAATGGTTGATTACTTGGTTCTTTTTATGTTTAATACCAGGTTCTAAGTATATTATTCTATTTATGTTTGTAATTAAAAAAAATGCTGACGAGTATAGATGTCTATCCTGCAGGTGAAGGTTGTCTTTACGTTCAGCAAAGAACAGCTGGTATTGAGTGAAGGTGATCTGTGCGTGACAGAAGCAGAGAAACAAGTGCATTTTACGGGGCAACTATGCATAGGGCACAGGAACAATACTGATCAGGTGTGTTAGCCCACGAAATTATTCACAGGGCATTTAGAGATACTGCAACAGGCAGATAAATGTTCTACGAATTCTTTGCTGTTACAAAGAATATATTGAGTAAGAATTTTAGCCCAAAATTAAACCAAAACATTGTACATCTTCGTATTTGTTACATTTATGCTATGTGTTGATAGGTTATAGTTGGATCAATTCCTTATTTTTTTCTGTTTTAATGGCCCTCCATGGTCTCTACCAAATTGTGGAAATGAACTCAATTTGTTTTTAAAATTGTGTTTCATTTTCTAAAAGCATAAGATGGCATAGGGTTTCCTGGTCTGGTGATCTCTTCTTTATTTAAATTCATGCTAAATTTCATTATTCATTCATTTTAATTAATTTATTTTAAACTTATGCTTTAAAAAAGTCCATGCATGGCACCGTATAATTCCTCCGTGTTACATAGCTGTTAATATAAGTTTTTAATATTGATAAATATTTATGACATAGAAATAGAAAATTTCAAAAATCATGAAAATGGGCCAAATTCCAAAGCTGCTACCTGCCAAAAAATCGCCATCAGATTTCATGTTCATCATTTCTATTTCTAGCAACGCTTCCTTCCACGTTAACTTCTTTTTTAAGCAAAATAAACACTACCTTCGTTGCAATATAATTATGATAAGTATTGTGTATTTTTCAACAAACGTTTTCATTAATGAATAAATGTGTTTTTTTGGGAAGATTCTGCCACTACGAGCAATAGTCAGTCTGCCCACTCTCAGGGTGTCGCATCAGCTGCTCGATTTCGGCACAGTTGTAGTCGGTCACACGAGAGAGATGCAGATAACTGCCTCCACCTTGGGAAATGCTAGTGTATCCTGGCACATTACTCAGCAAGGTGACTACTCCTTTGCAGCACACTTAGCTAATTTTATTAACTATTCGTGTATATGACACTAACTGAACATTCAGAGTGAAATTGATTACATATAAAACGTACCGATTTGTTAATAATGCCTGATTACCATATGATACATGCCAAAAGTAACAGCAATGACTTGACACACTGCTTGGTTAGCGTTCACGTAAGAGCTGGTCATCGGATTTAGATTTGTTTGGGTGTATACATTTTAATGTATGGGATAGCTAGATCTACTGTACAGCCTGCATAAGGGAGCAGTTTTACAGGTTTCCTGTAGTAACATGCAGCTGAGGGCTACACAGTAGGTCTAGAAATGCTGTCACTGTAAACCTGCAAAAAGCAATGGACAAAATATGATACTCATAATCATGATATGATAATCATTTATTATGGCCCTAGGACACGAGGGGGAGAAAGCATTTAGAATGAGCCCACATGAAGGAAGACTGGAAGCTTACACCTCTCACACATCCACCAGTAGCCGGTGCTTTATTGATGTGTCCTTCACTGCATGGTAATGTATAAAGATGATATAAAAAATCATTATCATAATAAAACAGAACATTTATGTGCATTGCCAATATTATTTATATTGATGATAATTTTTATACATCTATTAGTCACGTCACTCCAACTACTGTAGATCACTATGTATCTTCTGAATTTGGAATTCCTATACATAGTGTGTGTTAATTGTGTTAATACATAATTGTGTTCCAGGCAGCAAAAAAGTTACAACACAAGTCTAATTTTCCATACCCTACTAGAAAAGGATGTAATCGCTGTGCAAGTGAAAGGTAAAGGGTCATATGATGAGTCCCACCATGCTATATTGGACTACAGGGAATAAGCGAGATAGGACAATACATTAACATTGTATGTGTGTTGCTATGCTATATAGGTTCAATTCTAACAATGCTATAAATCATTTACGTATCATTCCTTTTTGTTGGAAATAATATGTACAGGCATCATTATAATTTGAAACTAATAAAGGGTTCCAGTTTAAACTTGATTGTTGATTTTTGTATTATTTAAAAATATTTGCTCTTCCTCAGCATGTATGATTTATTTTTATATAATCTTTCGCTAGCAGAATCTGTCTTTCTCTGCTCTAGTAATTGTTTTCTGCCACGCCCTATAGATTACATTATCGCTCTGCTTTGTCATATTTCATTCTACTATGTTTCTCAATCGGTCTCATAAAGAAGGAAACCAGTGAAAGTTGTGTAGATATCGTCGCTTTCTGAATATATAGCCTTTCCGGGCTGCAGTTGTATTTCCAATGTGTCGCCCTGCTTCAGCCGTACGTTGACGCTCATTGACACGGCTGCGTGACGATGAGCTCCGTATCCGTTTACTAGAGTAAAAAAAAGTTGAGAAAAAATATATAAGACGTGCACGCACATCATGCGTGAACGCACGAACCCACGCAAGCACCACCCGAATATATGATGGTTCTAGTTAAATTGTTTCTATTTCTATTCTTGTTTCTATTGTATCTAATTGATTTTGAATTGGTTTGTACCCTATTTTAGTATATGTATATGTACCAATGGTCGTTGTCCCATTTTTGATTAGCTTCAGCCAGGTTGATGTTGTGGAATGGCTCAACCCATTGAGGCTTATGATGTAGATCCCCGATACAGGAGCGGTGAACTCGCCCGAGCTTTCATTAAATCCGCCTCCAATGTTGAGAATCGTAGTGTTAAATATAATCGTCTAAACGCAAACGAAATCAAACGGTTATGTCCCTATCACGATTCTTCGTCGTGATGAGCGTTACTGTTCATTAGTGCATTAGTGCATTATAACGTGCATGAATGTGCTTCTAGCTAAACGTAGGTGTCATAAAACTGCACCTTGATTTTAGTGGTACAGTACTATACACACGCATCCATGTGTGCATGTAAGGTGTCTGTTTCCATTATGATTATCAATCGGGCCTTTCTGGATAATAGCTTACAAGTCATGTGTAAAAGTACGAAGCTAGCACACACCATGGCTTCATCACCACTAAAGCACGTTTCTGCCAGAATTGCTGTGAAAGCCACCTGGTGACGGATACCAGCAATGCCCTGCTCTCCTTTGGCCCCTTTCGGACCAGCTGGGCCTTGCGCTCCTGTTGAGCCTTCAGCACCAATATTACCTATGACAGATAAGTGAAGGTTCAATACAATGTTATACACTGCTTGAGCAATTCAGGCATGTATTGTACATTGCATGAAATTAAGCGGTTACATGCAAGTTTACAATTTAATTCCGTAGAATGCAATGTAGTGATTTAATACGATTAAATGAACGTATCCACTTATTGAATGGACGTTGCCACCTGCGCGTGTATATAGACAACTATCAACGTAATGATATGTGTGTGCGCGTGTGAGTGCGTGCGTGCGTGCGTGCGTGCGTGCGTGCGTGCGTGCGTGCGTGCGTGTGTGTGAATATTGATATATTGATATAAAAATGTATTGAAATTATATTTTTAAATTAATACCGTATTGACATTTGACAGCGTGCTAGAAATACTTCAACTTCAAGTCACATGAAAACGTTTACGGTCTATATGTAATTCCTGTCTATAAAATTGTCACCTTTTGGCCCTGGTGGGCCTGGCTTTTGAGAAAGAGGCACACTAGACGACCCTGGTTCTCCCTTGGGACCAACTGCGCCTGGATTGCCATCATAGCCTGGCCTTCCATTTATACTGCGTGATTATGAAATGATATATGGAGAAAATGTCACAGAAAGCATCTCAACATGGGTTACCATGACATCCCGCTGCGCTAACAAATTGGCTGGATTATCTAGCCACGTTTGTATGGGTGGTAAAGCATACTGATAGTGAAGAGAAATTTTCGTTTTTTTAGTTCCCCAGTCTTGCTTTATGTAAAAAAGGCAATATTATTGTGTCAATTTGTACTTGATGATTCGCACTAAGCCTGCATTCGGTTGTAGATATTTTTTTAGGTAAACCTCTGCTAGCTTTGCTTCGACATCCTGTTATGCCGATTGGTGCAGCTATGCTAACCCAGGAAATCCGGGTGGCCCACGCGCGCCTCTCAGTCCAATCTCTCCCCGGGGGCCTGCTTCACCCGGCTCTCCGTCTTTACAAGTACAGCTGCTGTCTGCTCCCTCCAGTACTGCGGACATCGCTGCTCCAGCACTGACAGTAAGCACCAATAATAACCACACGGTCTGCATCGTTCTGTAAGCACAATACGGATCACTTTATTCATTCCATGGCGCCGATCTCAAGACGGTCTAAGAGTCAAGGACTGAAGTCAGGGTCGAGTTACGATACGGTGCGATAGTAGCGTGGCAAATCATATCTTTACGTTAGAGTTAACTTTGGACGATAAAACTTCGCAAACTTCAAAACATTCGTTTGCGTACGTGCGTGCGTGCGCGCGCGTGTGTGTGTGTGTGTGTGCGCGCGCGCGCGCGTGTACGCGTGTGCGTGTTTATGTGTGTGTGCGTGATTGTGTGTGCGTGCGTGTTTATGTGTGTGTGCGTGCGCGCGCGCGCGTGTGTGTACGCGTGTTTGTTTGTGTGTGTGCGTGCGTGCGTGCGTGTGTGTCCGTGTGAATTTCAGTGCGCTGTTTTCGACGAAGCTATTTATTATGACTCGTTGCCCGTAATGTTTAATACAGTGTATTAGTAATTGAATTATTACAGGCAGTATTCATAGAACACGGATTTGACACACATATGAAAATGAACTATATAGGCCTAGGTCCTATATATGTTCCCACACTGTGATGCGGGAAATTACTACTTGATCGCGCGTACGTACATTTTATTCAGTTGCGGTACAAGTTTAGTGTGGGTGTGTGCGTGTGCGCGCGTACGTGTGTGTCTGTATGTGTGTGTGCGCAGACATCTGACTAAATCTACTGACAACGTTACATACAATGTCATGTAAACCTAAGAGCCAAACCTAATCAGTGTAAACCTACTTGTTCTACGAAAAGTTCGTAACATCTAAGCGTGATGCGTAAAGTTTTACGTCATGTATAGACAAAATTACATACGTCGTTATTATACAACGACGCTATTATACAACATTATCGCAAAATTACATACATCGTCTAGCCTTTTCTGGTACAAAATAGATCAAAATCAACAAAAATTCGAAGTGAATTTTGCACAAATTCGTTTGCAGACGATGTTCACGACGGGGAGTACTTTGAACCAATTCAAAAAACAACTTCACGTATACGCGATGAAAAAACATCGCAATATCCGATACTTACCCCCCTTCCGATACGTACTCCAAAGTCTTGCCCCGGTGCTGTGGGAAGAATGTAGGACCGCGTTCATGTAGTCTCAGCACGGCTACTGGCGGCCACTGCCAATATCGCGTTGCTTTAGTTAACATATCCTGGTCATAATCGCTCGCTTCAGGCCGCAGATCCGCGTTTATCGGGTGTCAGAAATTCCCAAGAGGGTTAGCTAAAAACCAGATGGTTCATGTGGTGTAGTGTCGCGCTGTGCGTCCATCTGCGACGCGCCTAAATCAGAGCTTGCCTTTGATTTTCTCCGAATGTAATTACTGGATTTTACTGTAATGTTTTATTATAGCTGTGTGGTATTGATGTGGTTGATGACGGCTTAAAACTGTTTTATATTGAATACTCAGACTCCGAGTTTACAAATGCTTTCTTTTACAATTAGTTTTATAATACAGTGTTTCCCGCATTATCGGGCCTCTGATATACGGGCGTATCGCTTAAACGACAAACGTCTTCGAAAAGTCATCATTTCGTTCATGGTTATGTCACCGTCTCTTAATTGGGACATTTTCATGTTTCACGGCCTGTCCCGATAAACGACGCCACGTCATATGTGTATCATACCGCCTCGATATTATTGTATCCCCCGCGACGAAGTCGGCGGGGATACTATGGTTTCATGTCTCCCCAGCTGCCGCTGCCGCCGCAGACAATTTCCCTTCCGCTCTATAACTCGACCCCTAATTGACTTAGAGCTACCAAACGTGGTATACTTACACATCTTGGGGAGAAGGTGAGCAGCGTACCAAAACCAGGTCACTGCGACCTTTATTTGACCTTTACCTTGACCTTGATCATATTTCCCTTCCGCTCTCTAACTCGGCCCCTAATTGACCTAGCGCTACAAAACTTGGTATACTTACCAGGGCTTGAAACTAACCTAAAATGTTCACTATAGCTAGTGACCTGTAAAATCTACTAGCCCTTAAATGTTGAAATGAAACATGCAATTTGGCAATAAAAATGAACAATGAATTTGAAAATGAACAATGAAAATGGAATTTTGTGAAATGAAAATGAATTTGCAAATTGAGACATGAAAATGAAATTGGTTTTGGTAATGATTGATGATGAATTTGAAATAAAAATGAATTTGCGAATAAAAATCATCCGGTTTAGCTCATCTCGGCCACCATACTGCTAGAAGTACTGCCAACAAAGATTATGATTATGAATGATTTGTATGCATATCAAAAGTCATCAAGAGCTTCATCTGACAGGCGGACGCTAATAGCGGGGCGCGCATGGCGCGTATATACCCCACACTTATTTGAGGTGCGGTGGTGGCCTTTGCATCCCCCTACTCTTCAGGAAGACAAATGGGGAAAAATTAGCATTTTACAGACAATAAATACTGGATATTTATCTTTACAAGATCCTGTCATCGCTAGTCATACTCTCCTAATGTATTATTAGCAGCAAATGGAACGTGACATACATCTACTATAAAATCGCTGTAACTCGTTCCAAGAATAGACATTATTTTCCTGAAACTCAGCGACGCGTTTAATTTTGACGCATTCCCCATATTACGATTTTTTGTTCAAAATCCCCCAGCGCTTATCACTGCCCTCACGAAAGCTTAAATCCTTGGCATTATTCAAAATTAGAATAGCACACTAATGGAGTAGGGCCATATTGAATTTCACGGCGATTGAATAGGGAAAATTCAATTTCATCTCACTTTGTTGGCGGGCGATGGGCGTGCTGCCGACCCGTACCGGCAAGTATATTCCCGATTTTGATAATCGTCTGCCGTGGAAAAATATGCACTTTTGGTTCGAAATCTGCGTTCGTTTTTCCTCATACGTATTTTTGCGCAGTTTAAACGTTGCTCAGCCTAAAATATTACGTTTTATCAACCATGTTCAGGGGGAGGACTGATTCGCAGTGCTGTAGTTGTTCAACGGCGGCCGTCGCCGCTAGCACGCGGCGGTCGCCCCCCCTAGACCAATTTTCAAAGGCCCAAAGTATTTTAGCCTAGCGTAAGTCTGCATTGGTAACCACAGTGAGCGACCATGAAATATACATAGCACCAGACTTTGGTAGCTAAGATATTTTAGTTTCTTTAGCCCTGTCCCCAAAGCCGCCTTAAAAATACTCAACTCAACAGTGAATGCGGCATTGTGATGAAAAGGAATTGTTAATAGTGCTGCCTCATATAGATGCAGCGAAATTGCCCATTCGAGAGGAGGTATTTTCTACAAAATCACTCTCTCTTTTACCTCCTCCGGCCTAAACCAAGGAAGAAAAAAGAAGACTGTTGTTGTTGAGAGAGATTGATTTTGCTAGAAATTATACTCCTCTTCGATGCAATTTCCGTGCATTATGCAGGGCAGCACTATTTAACAACCTTCATCACAATTAGCCATCACTGCTGCAGCTTGAGGTCATTTTACCTTTGTGGGGCAGCAATAGATCTAAAATAAAAACTACTACAAATCTGCTGCTATGTAATTAAAAACATTGTTTCTTTTTTTTAATCCTTCCAACTTTGTTTGCGCTAATACCAATGTCAGAACTTACCTAAAGGCTAAAATACCTTTGCCTGAAAATTCTAGCGGGGCGCGACCGCCCCGTGCTACCGACGCCCCCGTTGACAACTACAGCACTCGAAATTCGATCTCCTTCCCTGCAAATGTTGAATAAAACGTATATTTTACTGGAGAACGTTTAAACTGCAAAAGAAAATATGAAAACAGAAATGAAGGCTAACCAGACAAGTTTTGAATCCAAAAAAAGTGCCGATATTTTTCACCATTTGATAATACAAAAATCCGGCACGAATGATAGCGTCCCAGGTTCGGGGTCGCAGCACCCCCATCCCCCCAAAAAAAGTGAGAGGAACCATTAGAATGTTCCATTCTCAATCCCGTGAAAATTCAATATCCCTACTTCTCATGAGGGTCTATTCTAATTGTTTGAATAATGCAAGGCATTTAACTTTCTGTGAGCCATGATAAGACTGGCGGAATTGTCGCACAAAAAAAATCGTTATATGGCGAGCAATGCCGTCCAAAACTTAACCGCTCGCTTGAGTTTCAGCGAAAATAATGTCATTCTTGCGAACGAGCCTTAAAACAGCCATAATTCTATAGCTAGATGTATGCGTCACGTTTCCATTTTCTGTAATTAATACATTTAGCGAGCAGTTATGAATAGCGATGACGGCATTTGTAAGATAAATAATCCAGATTTATCTTTGTCTGCTAAAAATTTGTGAATTTTTCCGCCATTTTCTTCCTGAAAGCTAGGCGGGCGCGATGAAGCCACCCCACCTCAATAAGTGCTGGGGGCGATATTATACCCCCCATCCCCACCCGCTATCCTACGTCCTGTGGCAGCATGAACTCTTTGGAATCGACTCCCTGTTGATATGATACAAATATTCATAATCATAATCTTTGCTTGCGCAGTACTCTACAGTGTATGCGTGCCGAAGATTGGCCTGACGGCCATATTTTAGTGTCCAAAATTCGATTTTTATAGTTCAAATTCATTTTCATTAACCAAATTCCATTTCATTTTCATTCAAATTCAGTTTTTATTTCAAAATTCATTTTCATGTTCACTTTCAATATTCATTTTCATTTAAATTATTCCAAATTCATTTATCATTTCAAATCATTTTCATTCTCACCTTTCAAATTCATTTTCAGTTCTCATTTCAAATGCAGTTTGCATTTTCATTTTCATTTCAAATTCATTTTCATTTTTATTTTTATTTTCATTTCAAGATTTCATTTTTGCGGCATGAATCTCGCGGTGGCCGCAGATGGCCCTACGGATTACTTGGTGGGGGACGGGGAGTGACGGCTCACTTCGCCCCTTACGTGGGAGTCACACCAAGGGAGAACATAACAGCGCCAGTTGTTTTGCGTTTTATATCGTAGATAAGTAAGTTTTTCGATGTAATATTCCGATGCAAAAACAGGTTCACATTGTACTCATTAATACTAACATATAATAATTATATATAATGGCTAACGCGGCACAAACGAGACGCATTTTTATCGTGCGCGTCGCATCGCCTGCGAATTTTGAGGAAGCGCCCTCGAAGCAACATCGCCCCGTGGGCGTTCACGTCTAACTCGGCAATTTATAATCGGCCCGACGAATCGCCCGTATCAAAAACTGCTTAGATATTTTTCGGGGCGCATCTATTACGCCGGGCGATTATTATCGCCTCGTGTGCCCGGACCGCGCGTATTTTGCTCGCGCAAACCGCCATCGATTTTCTAAAACATCGGACGGTTGTTGATATCATGCTGATGTTAAAATGTTTCTGGTCGAGTGTGCGTACGCCGCTACGCTCTCATAATTCGCTACTCCACGTGTGGCCCCTTCGTGCATCGCGACGCGATAAAATCGCTACGTGCTGCCCCTTCCTGACTCGGTGCCGATTAAAATTCGGCGGGTGGCAATTTATAATCGCCCGCGATCCGAGACATCGGCGGCGATAAAATCGCTCGTGGTGACCTCAGCATAATTGCAATTCCTTTGTGTAAATCGTGGTAGTTTCATCCTTTCACATCTTAAACTTATTAGCAGCTCTAGGTCTCGGCTCTCGCTAATGTTACGGACATACGTACGACGCTACGTACTGCCTACTGCCTACTGTACTGTCTATAGACCTTCGCCGCTCCGTCGCAGGGAGCGGTGGGCTGAATGCTTAATGGCGTCCGCGCTGCCGCCTTTGCGTGTCGCGCGCCGTGTGCATATGCCGCTGTGCGCTGCGTGCGCGCGGTCGGGTGGTGGTGTGCTCAGACAAACGAGGGCCCGCAAATCCAGGGGCGGACAGGGAGCGGACAAAACCAGTCCATGGGCATGTCCCCTACGAATTTTCAGCAGGGGGGGATGCGACATAAATCACAATGTCACCCCCACGACTTGTTTGAGATCACCATGATATATGAATGAACTGTTGAAGCTGGTTGTGGTGCTGTGAACAATGAAGCTACCGTGTGTGCTGTGTGGTCATTGTGAAAGAAATGTGTGTGCTGAACACGAAGCGAGGGGTGTGTGTGGAGTGGTGAAACTCG